AAAAATTGTCAATATTTCTTGTTCATTATTTTATTAAAAAAAAAATATTTGTTTTATATTTTGTTACATTTAAATATTTAAATATTTTTGCATGTTATAACTATACAATATGTAATTATTTTTCAATGTTTGAAAAATTTTTTGCATTTTCACTTGTATATGTATAAATAAAATAAAATAATACTTAAAAACTTCGATTTTACATAGAATCATTCAATAAATTATTTACTTTTAAATATATATATATATATTTATTTATTTATTTAATCATTATCAATAGTTATCGAATTTTAATTAATAATAAAACAATGAACATCGAAAATTGTCAATGACTATTATGGATGATGTATTGTAAATCAATTTAAAAGGAAGCGGGAAATAAGCTGTTAGGAACGCGCGAAGTTTGATGAGAGCGCGGGAAGTAGGTAGTGGGGATAAGTCAAGCCAGTAGATTGGTTAGGCACATCATGGCGCGGAGGGGCATCGACCGGTCTGGCATCGGGCTGCTATCGGACTGGCAGGTCCCCCCGTTCAGTGCCACCAATACACAAGAGCCGAGGACTCTCTATCGCCGACCATTGGTCCTCAATTTGCCGACCAATCATTGGGAAAGTGCCCACGAAAATATCCAATGTAAGTCCACAAATTATCAAACATCAACGGGGTACGCGTACGACCGCGCACCGTTGTACGATTAACCGCGTTTTCGTTTTGTGTGCTGTTTCAACTGCGAACTCGTGACTTCTTGAGCTTGAAAAACTCTTTCTGCACGGCCATGTTTGTCAAGACGAGCGTTTCTCGTCCAAAATTCGTGTCGATCCATGGCGAGCATATCGCGTTCAAAGTACTATCCAGCAGACTTGGTCTCCGTTTTATACATCAACATTTGCCGCGTGTTAAGGATTACAAAAATATGACGTTAATCATGCCGCTGAAAACAGGATACAATATCCTTCAGAAGCGATGTGTGCCCGACAGAAGGTGATGATTATTGTCTGGCCTCAATTCTTTTTTCTACGTCTATTTAACATCTTGCACGTGGGCTTTCAGATTTCAATGTGCTCGCCACGTTGGCGATCTTTATCAATACTTACAAAATGTAAAATATATGAATAAAATTAAAAAAATCTTTCAGTAATCTAACCTTTTAAAATATGGCATTTATTTATCTTCAACTTTTAAACAAACAGCAAGATTTTTTGTAAATTCTCAGATTACTATATATGATTTTATATTTGAATAAATATTTATCTTTATAAAACATAATCATTTCTATCATGTTAAATTTTTTTGCATTTAAGGTTTATACTTAGCATTTTACCAATTTATTTTAAAATATAACTGCACTATTTTTGTTGTTGTTGTAAATCAATATCTTTTGTTTAGCTATAGAAAAAATTTACAATGGAACAATTGGGAGAAGGACAAGCAGTTGTGGTTGGAAGTGCCGGAGGAACGGTTCAAGTTGTTCAAATGGGTCAAGGAGGTCAAGCAATGATGTTACCACAAGCTATACAAGTAGCAGCACCAAATGGACAAATACAAGTTGTTCCAGTATCTAGTTTAACTGGTACAGGTCAACAAATTGTAATTCAACAACCACAAACACCTCAAATCATTCAAACTCCAGATGGACAAACATATATTTATCAGCCAGTACAGTTAGAAGGTCAAGTTCAACAAGCACAACCCACAGGTATGAAATTTTAAAATTTGTTTATTAAAATATAAAATTCATGTAATAATTTCATATTTTATGTTTAGTAATTAATATCAATGGAAATCTTATGCAAATTCCTGGAACAGCATCACAAACAACAACTACTGCAGCAACTACAACACCAGTGCAACCTTTAGCAAGCCCTACAGCAACAGCGTCTCAGGCAGGAAATGTTGTCATGGTGATTACTATTAAAATGTCTCTTTCACTTACATAGTCTGTGTACATATTATACTGACTTGTAGTGACTATAGAGCAACAAAGATAATACATTATTTTTTTTAAAATCTTTTTATTTAAAAATTCTATTAGTCTATATCTATTTAATGTAATACAAATTAATATTAAATTTAAATTATTTTTAGAATATATAAATATATATGATTGCAATTGCTGATGTTTTAGATGGTACCAGGAAATAGTGGACAGACACAGTTTCAAAGGGTAGCATTGCCAAATGCAGAAGTTTTTGAAGAAGAACCTTTATATGTAAATGCTAAACAATATAGGCGTATATTAAAACGTCGTCAAGCTCGGGCTAAATTAGAAGCTGAAGGAAAGATACCTAAAGAAAGACCAGTAAGTTAATCATAATTTAACATTATACATACATTTTATACTAATTTTAAATTAATATCTGCTTGCAGAAATATCTCCATGAATCTCGTCATCGACATGCAATGAATAGAATTCGTGGTGAAGGTGGTAGATTTCATTCTGGTCAAGTAAAGAAGAGAAAGTAAGTTTCTATTTATACCTTTTCTTAATACATTTTCTTATGAAAAACAAACACAGTATCTCATTCATTATTTTACGCATATAAGAGTGTAATGGTTCCAGTAGAACAAACGAAAACGCCATGATTACCCAGCACATCACAACTTCGACCAGCACTAATACCGTTCGTACTATAGCAATAGCAGCAGCAAATATAGGTGTACAGTATCGCGACACAGATAATATGGCCTCCACAATTGTTATTGAAGTAAGTTTTTTTTTAATTTAAAATATAGAAATTTTAGAGTAAATTGACATGATTATACATTTTTTATAGAAACAAGGTATTCCTCTTCAGGATATGATCTCTGAAAACGATATTGTTACCTCAAACAATTGTTTAATATAGATAAATGTTTAAGTTAAATGATATATGGAAATGATACATGGAAAAAAAAATAATAAGTCAAAGAAGAAAAATGTGTCGATAATGACATCTTGTATGTTTGTATTAGTTTTGTACATAGTACAAACATAATTCTTGAAGATAAAATGCTGTGAGAACCATCAAAGTTGTATATATTGCAATTACGAAAAGTGTTTATGTCTTATATTTTTTTAGCTTTTTTTTACACATAGCCTAATAAGACTTGATAACACTATTGCATAGTACCACGTCCGGTATAATGAAAAATTAAACTCGAGATTAGATAATATATATAACATTTTGGTCAAAAAAAAAATATTTCTATTAGTTATAATTAACTTTAAATATTTTGTGTATATAAAAGATGTTTGCAGTGTTACATATCGAATCTATAATTTCAAAATATCTAAATTTTTATACAAATCATATCGCTACATGCAATCGAGAGACTGAACATAATTTATTGTTACGTGCTGGGTACCATTTTTAGATTAGGTTTTATAAGTAAATTAATCTTAACTTCCATTAAAATAAAAAATAAACAAAATGCAAAGAGTGTATACATCAATAAGATTTTTTGTATAGTTTTATGTGCAAGTACAATTAATTTAATTTGATGAAAGCTTTATGAAATGTAATTAATTATTAGAATATTTTATAAGAAATTACTTGTATTTTTTTCCAATAGTTTATGTAAATAACATGTTTAATTTTGAAATGTTAACTATTTTGGCAGAATGAAGGAGGCTATATAATGTGTATAATCTACATAGTTGAAAATTTATCATAATGAATAATTCAATTTTATGTTTATGATTAAACTGGAACTTTTGAAAAATTAATTATTATATTTTGCTATTATAAGGATAATGACATTTTTCTAAAATTCTAACATCATGTCTAAGAATATTCAAAGGACAAACAAAAAAGAATTAATTTTATTCATAGTTAAATACTATTTCATAATATATATTCATATACAGCATCTTCTTTTACAAATGTATAAATTAAAATAAAAAAAGAAAGAATGTTTCTTCGAATATAAATATTTTATTAAATGATTCTAAAATAAGTCGAATTTGTAAATAATTGTAAGTCTACAAATGTAAGAAAGATTTACGTGAAATATTGATATTGTGTGTTCAGCGTGGATGTAAACAACTGTAAATTAATAATTAAATTGGATGAAAATAGGAAATAATATATTTGTAAAATAATTATATATAAGCAAAACAATACGGGTTGTGTTTTATAATAATTCATGTCTGATGATTTAATTAATGTAATCCTTTTCCTATTTATCATTTATTGTAATAAGTGTTTATTAAAAATAATTTTCTTTTAAAAATACGAAAGAAGAGAAAAATAAGACAATTTTTTATTATTAATTTAAATATATTATAAATTATTATTTGCATGAATAACATCAGATAACTCTAGAAGGAAGTACAAATTTTTTCTCTGCTAGAATTTCAGAACATTCAGATGGTGGACTATCAGGTCCTTTAGTATATATTTGAGGTTCTATAGGTAATGGTGCACCATGTAAGAATTCTTTTATTACTCTATTTCCGGTAGCATCTATAGTTGCATTCTTTTCTGAATATCCAGTACTAAGAGAAATAATAATAAGTTATATAATTTAATAATATGTAATAAATTATAGTTTAATTATATATATTATAAATATATTTTTAATATATAATTATGAATATTATTACCAAAGTTTTAAAAACATATATCATTGATTATATTATTTGATTATATTATTTTAACAACATGCATATCGAAATTGAACGAAATTGTTTAATTTTGTTTTCTTACCTTATACAAAGAATTTCTCTTTCTTTTTTATTTGGTATTAAATTATCCAAAGGTTTCATTGCTTTTTTTACATGTAACAAATCTTTCGTTACAATTTTCCATGGATTTCTATAAGATTTTTTTTGAACCGTTTCTGGTATGATCCAATCTTCCGGTAAAGGTATATCTTTTTTTCTTCCATATATTTTCACGCGAGGTGAATAATCATCTAAATAATTAAATTTTTAACTTTAAATATATTATATTAATGAAATTATATTATCACTTTCAAAACATTAAACCTTTTGAATAATGTAATTGATACATGGTTTGCTTCAGTTCATTGTCTTTTCTTTCAATTAGATCTTCGTCTGGTACAACTTCCGGAAGAAATTTTTTTAAATGCGAATATTTTTCGCGAATCTAATAATTGCAAATCTACACTTAATTTTTTTCTAATGCAATAATGATATAAATGATTTTCAAAATAAAATTTTATAAATTAATTTATGAAATGAATGAAATAATTTATTCCAAAGTATATAATATGTTAACTTAAATTATTGTTACTTGTTTACTCTGTTTAAATTCTCTTGAGGATCCTCGCTTTGTTCACTTAAAGGAAGTGTTTCATTTTTTCGTCGTGTATTGAGACACTTTTTGTAAGGGCCATTTAAAATATTCAATGGTGGAGGATAAGGTGGTTCCGGTCTACATTCTTTTGGTCTACGACCTTCTTTCGATTGAAAATCTTTTTTATATGTCGTTATAAAGTCACGTGTCTCGTCTTCCACTTCAAAAAGCATGATTTTTTACTTAAAATAAATACATTATAAAATTTTTTCGCAATTATTGATAAATCTTAAAAGATTACAAAATCTTGAAGTTGGCAAATTTTGATTTAAGAAAAAAAAAAAAAAAAAGAAAAGTTTAGATATAGATTTAGAAAATTTTCAAAATTTTTTTTTGATAGAAATAATTATGATTGATAAAAATTCATGACCATAAAAAAGTTAACGATTACAAAAATTATAAAGTAAATTAACGGAAAAGAATGAGAAAAATAATCTCTTCTATTTGTCGTCTAATGATTCTCCGATTTCTCGCGGTTCATTATGGAGAATGATATAACAAGAGATGAAGCATGGTACCCTTGTGTGCTATAAACGCCAATTAGGACATGACATCGAATTTCCCTGTTATAGGTGTGTCCTTGTTGATGCGATTCGCCTACGCATTCTTTCTTCTTGCCTCTTTTTTTTTCACTCCACTCCTCACTTAAGGGAGGTAGAAAAAATAGATATCCGCATTTTAATTTAGCATTTAACATTTCAATATCGACACAAGAAACTTGCAAAAAATTTCGTTACTATTAATTTCTTATCTCGTAAACAATGAAAAGTATAATAATTTAAAAATTTTACGAATAATTTAATTTTATATATAAAAAATCATTAATTAAGATATTAAAATTACATATAATTATATATAATTCTTTTATATTAAATTTTATTAATATCAAACGAATTTTATAGAATATCATATACACAATAGATATTTTTAAGCAATTATAAAAAAAATTATAGCATAATTTAGATATAATATAATTAAATAGATGTAATTAAAATATTTTATACAATCATCTTCATAAGATTATTTAATTTTTGTTTTAAATCAAAGAATTTTATTATTTTGTCTGAAGAATATCTTTACGTCATCATTCAGGAGAGTTTCTTATATACTTTAACTTCCAACCCTCTTGCTATCGACTGCCCACGCACGTCTTCGAACTCTTCTCGAAAGACAAATGCGTATATATGTCCTTGCTCTCCTTTTCAGAATTCTGACAAAGAACAAGTTCGTTCTGTTCAGAACATTTCTCCATATTGTCTTTGTAACCTAGTAAAATTTCTATAGTGTAATTATTCATGATATAACTTCCAAAATATTAGACTTAAAGATTTACATTCAATTCTTTTCGCTTGAAAAATAAAAAACAAATATATAATTTGTTAAATGAAGTTGAATATAGTTATTAAAAAATTTTAATGGACAATTTTATTCGTTTTCTTAATTAAATTCTGCAATTATAATTCGATGATATTTACGATGAACATTAATTTTATTATAACAGTATTGATTATATCAATATATCTGCATCATTAGATGCTGATATTAATATCATTTTCATAATTATGTCAATTATAATATTCAATGATAATATTGGAACAAAAAATATTAATTCAATAGATATATATTAATAAAAGTAAATGTCAAATACAATATTTTAATATAATTAAATTCTTATTTTTATTGAATATATAACAGGAAATGAAATTGTAATGTAAGAGGTTAAATTAATTTTAAAAAACAGAAGAAATTTAAAATACACACTCTATAGCTCATGATTTGCAAACGATGATCAGTAGATTTTTAATGTCAGACTGAACAAAACTTTTCATTTTGTCCATATCAGATTTAATCGAAAAAACAAAAATGTGTCAAAAATCTTCTTCGAATACGATTAAATGTAATTGATTTATATAATTTCGTTTAGCTATGATTCATTTGTATCTTAAATCTATTATATAAGTGAAATAAACGAAAAAACAATTTTTCATTGCTTTGGATATACATCTTCCAGGAAATAAATATAATAATATCGTCTCTGACTCTTTATTATTCATAGTATCGTATACTGTGTTTTGTATAAAGAAAGATTAATGTTCCGTAATAAGCAGCTAATTTATTAAAAAGAGCTGATGATTACGGTTTTCTAATCGATCACATAGATTGAATGATATATTATTAGTATTAATGAAAGAAAGAAAAATATTCTAATTAAAAATAAACAGATATATTTATCTCGTGGATTAAGACATACACATATGAATACAAATATGGTAAATGATATTTAATTTATTTATTTTTCTATAAAATAAGATTGCGTGAATACAACCTACTAATAAACGACAATTGTGGTTATGACAAAGGATAAATTGAATTTTGGAACAATGGAAAATGAGATTTGAGGAAGCATATTTTAACGATGCATGTAGTTCATAACTGGAGAATTATCCTAGTAAACGATTTTCTCTACCAGAAAATGAATCCATAAATCCATAAGTTTATTTAACAATACAAAACAGTATCATCTTGTTCCAAAATCAATTCTTTAATCTTGGATTATATACGTTGCAATTCGCGCTATACATTTTATTATAGTATGTAATATATTCAATGTACAATCCAAATTTTATACCATTGCACAAAAGTACTTGTACCATATACAAGACTTTTATTCAATTTCTTCTACTTTATCCTCTATAAAATCAAGATATTAAAAGCCTTCTTATCCCATTATTCCTTCCTTTCATTATCTTCCCTTTTTCAATTCTCTTGATAAGGAATAACAAAAAAAAAAAAAAAAATAAAAAAATATCAATCTTGAATCCTCGTTAAAACACCGCCACATAGAACGTGGATGGCCACTCAGGATGGGACGTTTTTCCACGTTCCATCTTTCACGTAATTCCTTCCATCCCTTCCTGAATCCTCTTCAGCGTCTTTCAAATCTTCCACCTACGATTCACGTAAAGCATCTAAAAGCCTAATCCTCGAATTTATATTCATTCGGAATGGAATCATTGGGACAGCGCGGCGTAAGGATGAGTGAATGCAGAATAAGCGAGGCGATTGAGAATAATCCGCGTGGCAAACGTGACGGAAACGTAAATCGCATTACGAGCAGCGCACGATAGGGCACACAGCGAGGGTACCAGTTGCTTCGCAACCAGTTGCTCGTGCCAAGGGTGGCGGACACCTTACCCTTTGCATCGTCACAGAAAAGAATCAACCCCACTCCCTTCCAACCTCGAACCTCTTGGTCCTCCGGATATCCATCTTCCAGATGGATCGTAAACCAGGGTGAAAACCGTCGTCCAGACACCGCGAAACGAGGCTTGGAACCTCGAACCGAAGTTTTATCTGATCCTCTATGAAGAGAGAGAGAGAAAGAGAGAAAGAGAGAGAGAGAGAGAGATCCTCGTGGGGGCGAGATCGCCACGCCTCCCGCGTCTATATAAGCTACCGGTCCGACGTGGAAACCTCACTTGCACCCCGGCAGCAGTCAGAAAAGGATACGATCCACGGGGACGAATCTCTAATCCGCTCGAATCGAGGAATCGGCCGATCCTTTGATTTTTTTTAACCGAGAAAGGAAGAGAGAGAAAGAGAAGGAGAAGCCATGAAGTTTGGATTGTTCTGGTTGTTCTGCTTGTTGACGGTTGCCATCTTCACCGACAGAACCTTCGGAAGCCCCTACATCGATGATGGTGAGTAGTTTTATCTTTTATCTTCTTCTTTAGTTTTTTTTTTTTAGTTGTTAATTGAGCTGATAGAAAAACGTTTGTCGATTTTTGATTTTTTGGTATTAAGAGAATGAATTCGTTTTATGAAGATGGTACTTTATGGTGAAAAAATATTGTGTTTTTGTCAGATAAAAATCAATTGTCAGACGAATTTAAGAATATCTATTTTTAAAATATTTTTTGCACTTTTGAAATAAATGTTGTAAGTGTCGTATGTGTTAAATGTTGGTTTTATGATCGATTTTAAGGTACAAAATTAATTTGAATCTGATAGGCCATTTTAACGAAAGAGTCAATGATTATTGATATTAGTATATACAAAAATTTTTTAATATATTAAAAATAATGATCTTGAATATATGAATATATTGTAATAAATTGATTTATTTATGTACTTACAAAATTGACATAAGTTTTCTATCAACTTAATATTGTGAATGAGATATAGTGAAAATTGTATGTATGAATAAATGAATTGAAGTTTCTTTAATGAAGATATAATACGAAGGTCATGAAAAATAGGAACTTGACAAAGATAATTAAAGATGACCTTTTAGAAATTTCATTTTAATTGAAGATTTTTTTTAAATAAAAATTTTTCTCGAGAAAATTTTAATAACGAAAGTGCGAATGTTGTTTTTTTGATGATTAAAAAAATTCATTTAATTTTAATTAATTTTAATCAACACAACATGCTTTTTGATGAAGTTTCAACATTTCTTTTTTTTAGTTTTAATTAATTCAGTCACGCATAAGTGATAAATTGAAAACAAGAATAATATCTATATTTAAATTCACGTTTGACTTTTTATTCCTATATATTTTTCGTATCGTAACTAGTAAATACATTAAAATATCATGTTTCAAAGTTATTGTATTATTGACATGTTTCAATCGCATAGTTTGCTAACAATTATTTGTCATGCAAGTAAATAATAATTTTCATATTTATAATGGATCAAACATTAGGAAATTATGGAGAATAATTAATTAAATAAATATAATATTCAATAAATTTTAATAGTCTTCATTAACTCGAATTATTTTCTTCGAAAACATACGATATAAATGTTAAATTCATTGTAATAATTAATAGAGATCTCTTATCGCGTATATTAAAAACAATATTTTTCATAAAAATCATGTGGATCTAAATGTGAAAGAAAGAAAAGAATTCTGTATTATAAATATTGCTTTCATTATAGAAAATTCTTTCATTTTTTTCACGTTCGAGGTAATGTTTTTAATATAACAAATTTTTATTCAATTTACAAGAATATAACAAATCTCAAATTTCAGACGTTGAACGTTCAAGAAATAATTAATATAATCGTTTGATTTGTCGTGATAATCCATGTTTAAACTAGAAGAGCTGTATTTGCGGTTGAGGGTTGTAGCTAGTAGTATAAATCCGTATATGAGCAGACATTTGGCAAACGAATGTATTGCGTTCGCAGCAACTGCTGCCACTCACAGACACATTTCTCTAAAGAGTTGATATATCGAGTTGGCAAATTTCATTATATCGAATCAACAATCAGCATTTTACGATACATGTTAACAATTTACAATTTTATTTAAAATTTTTTTTTCAAAGATAATTGTAGAACGTACATGTACGTGAATTGAAAATTTAAATTGATTAAAAAATTTGTATCGTAAAATTATTGTATTCACAATATTTCACACAATAATAAAAACGAGTATAATTTAAACAAAAATTATTCCAAAAACTATTCTACTTAAAAAATAATGAAATGATTAATTTTAGAATAGATTATGCATTGTAAACTCAAATTCGATCTATTAAAATAAGAAGATTGATAAAATTATAAAAAAAATTTGTGTAGAATTTTGGAAATTTGCGGTTGAAAATTTACTCTATGAAAATATTAAAACATTGACGATAACTTTGGAGAATAACTTTGGAAACAAGGAGCGGGAAAAGCTGGTATGTTAAATTACTTTAATCCTAGAGGCTGTTGATGAGAATATCAAAGAAAATGAAACAAGAGAAATAAATTGTTATTACGTGTTCATATTATATGTATACCGTACAATCTCTGCTTCCTCTGGAATTCCGACTGGAATTATTTCTGGCGAATTGATGAATTCCCCTTGGCGAATATACGTTTGATATCCTTGCTCTTTTTGCATTATATCTCCAACTGATTTCTCCTTTCTATTAAGAGCTTGGCAAATGAATTGGAATCTCAATGTGGAATATTTGTCAGACTTAAAAAAGAAATGAAATTCAAGTGGTTTTAGCGATTGAAAAAAATTTGTGGAATTGGAAAAATTTTGTATGTGATATATTTCAAACTTTTATATTTATATATATTCCACTTAAATATACTTAAAGTACATTACTTAAGTATTTGAGGAATTCTTTCATAAAATAATAAATAAATTTTAAATGTTTATATAATATCAATTCTAGAAGATAAATGAACAATCTATAATTCATTATAATTAAAACTAAAATATTTATGATATTAATTGATATTTGCAGATCATCAAGTAAATATTTATTATATGTATATATATTTATATATAAACAAAATTATAAAATCAATATTATTTTGATAAAACGGAGTTGTACCGTGAAAATTTACAATAATGTTTTGTAGATAAATATCTGGTATTTGCAAAAGGGATTGAAATTGTAAAGTTGTATTTAGAGATTAACGATAATAATGGATTAAGGATTTATACGTTTGTGGAAAAGTTTGTTTGAATATAAAATTAACGAAAATCTTCTACTTCAATTAATTAAAATTTGAGTATATTAAAATATTTACATTCACACTATGATAACATTAAATATTTAACTAAACCATATTTACCATATTTATGAATCCAATTTTTGTATCTTTGATATGTATAATTAACTTTCATAACTTTCATGCATTATTTCATTATTTCATTATTTAATCCTCAATACAAATAACTCATTGTTCTTTATATGCGATTCGCGATAATATTCCCTACTTAAAATTCATCATTCGTTCTCCTTTTCAACCTTTCCAACAAATTATTCAAAACGGCGATTCATATAAAAGCAAATTCATATATAATAGATTTCTGAATGGATGAACGAATGAATCGCCGTGATCCAGGGAATGCAAGATGCTTATAATCCTCTTTATATTCTCACGGAAGTGCAAGGTAGTTCCGTGTTATTCGTGTGGAAAGCTTCATATTTCAAGGAAGCGGACGAATTTATATGGAAATACCAACATGAACACAAACGTAGGCGACAATGCCGATTAAATATAATCTTTGTAAGGGTTCTCGCTCATATGCTTCTTCTATTTTTATTCCCTTCCATCTTCTCAATCTACCCTTTTATGAACTCTGTTGTAATGGACGCGTTTGATCGATCTGGCTACGCGATACTTTCTTTCTTTCTTTCGTTGGAAGAACGATTCCACGAACGAAAGACCGTTCGAGAGTTCTGAAAACAATCGTGGATATTTTATTCCTTCTCATTTCATCGTGGATATTGATAACCGAGTTGCTGCATAAAACATGCCGCCTTCCAGACGAAGTCTCGTTTTGCTTGTTTTTAAATCACGTGACACGTTTATTAATTCTTCTCGTTTCTGCGTTATTTCTGAAACATTTAATTTATTTATTATTCTCTTAATGGGTTTAAGAATATTCTTACAAGTAATTACAAGTCTTTCGTTCTAAAGTGCCCGGTCGTTGAGCTATTTTTCATCGTGAATATAAATTTGATTGAAACTGTTCAGAAAAAGCAAAGTAATTGGGGGAAAAAAAAGAGAGAGTTGAGAATAAGAAAGTTAATTTGAAAAATATTATATTTAAAATACAAGAAATAAATAACAAGAATTTAACAAATTATACACAATGATGCTAATCATATAAGAAATATATCGTTATAGACATGTTTTTCTTTATGATTCTTTTGTATATGTGATTATTTTTATAACGAAAAAATATTACATTGAAAGAAAGTTTTTCAAGGTTTCATCGAATGAATTTTATACGTTATTTCTAATTTTTCATGGTTACTTTTTTTACTCGTATAATAATAATTTAACTACCGTATTAAAAAATATATTAATGTGTGTTACAGAGGAAGATTCGCTGCAGATTGCAGATTCAGATTATACAGATAATGCATTAGAGAATCTAATGCGAGCGGCTCAACAAAAGTGAGTATTTATTGTATATTAATATATCACGTGTTTATCCTTCCTTATCCTTCTTTCAATCTTGTTTTTAATATTTTTATATTTTTATTACATAGATTTGCATGTTTTACGATTAAATTAAATTAAACATTTATGCAATTCGATAAAAACTTAAAAAAAGAAATGAAAAAAAGGTACTCCATCGAAATTATTTTTTTAATTTTTTTTAAATTAAAATATTTTATCAAACGATTATTTATTAAGAGAAAAAGAATTGCAAAATGTATCGACTTAATATATTTACTTTTATTTTTCTCCTTCTTCCATCTCGATGTCTCGATGTCTCTGCAAGGTATTATTCTGAAACCCCTAATCTCGAGTAGACGTACCTCGTTGATCTACCTGTTTAGGCGGGCCTGCATACCACGGAGCGGAAACTGCGACCACCGGCCGAAAGACTGCTGTTACAGCTCCAGTTGCAGATGCAATTTGTGGGGTTCAAATTGCCGGTGCCAACGAATGGGTCTCTTCCAGAAATGGGGTTAAAAACGATCTCACTCTCAATCCCCTCTTTCTTTCTCGGCGAGAACGTTCCTCCTTTTTAGCACGCGACTACAATGCACGATTTCGTATAAGATTTGTCAAGATTTCGTTTCATCCCTCAGAGATATTCTCATTTCTTTTCCTTTCTTTCTTCTTCTTTCCCCATCATCTTGCGAATACTCGAATTGCGTAAGCGTTTTTTGCGTACGAATTTTTACCATCGTCTGCTGTCCCACGGTCTAACATTTTATGCGCACGCCACGCGATCTAGATTTAGGATTTAGAATTTTTATTTGCGATGCGTGAAAATAGCAAAACTAGAGAAGATAGAGCTTTCTAGAATGTATGCGTTGCGGGTGAGGGTGAGTTTTTACGGTATCTTCCCTACGGTTCCTTCTCTTTCTTTAATTTATTAATTTACATCTTTTTTTCTTACATATTTTCTTTTTTCTTTTAGATATCTCGTATCTACCTCCCACGTATGTATAATACTCGAGATAATGAATTTTATCTAACGTTTATTTATTTAATTTTCTTCCGTTTTATTAAACAGACTTGATTTATTATTATTATCTTGTAGAATTAAGTTATTATTCTTTGTATTTATTAATCTGTATTTTTTTTTATTTCTATGAATTGAAACCTTACTTACTTCGAGGCCTTGCGCAATTTATCAGCCAAAATGATCGAACGAAAACCCCAAACGAAAAAACGAAGGATAATAGAAGAAACGAACGAATGAAGATCGTACCGAGAATTTACTTATCTTCCTCGATGTTCATTTTATTCTCCGCGAGAAGAAGTGGAGTGAAACGTGGATACAGAATAAAATTACGGGAATACAAAGCGGTCCATACATTTTAAGAATTATATTCCGCTGTAACACGATGATAATAAATACGAACGAACGGTGTAACGATAAATTGTGAATCCCTTGAGAGAAGAAGAAATGTCTAAGCGCAAGTAGATCTTTACATATATATACATATACAAACAATTTTTGAAAATTAAAATTGCAGTGTTCTTAAGTTGATCCATGACCGACGTTCATTTTTTTTTTCCAAGCAAATTCGACAATGATTCAACGATATAAAATAGAAGAAACTTTTTCTTTACTTCGAGATCTTTCTGTTACTCGCGAGAGAGAGACACACTTCTCGCCTAATCGAGAATCCGCATTATTTTGATATAATTAAACACCAATGATATAAAAATTGTATAAAACTAGGGTTAGCTTAGAAGGGACGGACGAAGTTAATAAGGAGTAAATTTTTTGATCAGGCTCAGCATTCTCTGCTACTTAATAAAAAAAGGCCGTCATCCTCTTCGATGGGATGATGATAAAATTGGGAAGGATCGATGAATTTTTAACTCATATAGCCAAATTTTTATAGGTATAGATAGTGTATCTCTGATCGGTATTTTCCTCTAAGTCAGTTTTATCGATGTCGGTGTTCTTTTTTTGTTCGTCGTTCGTCGAGGATGATCACGGCCTATTAGAATAATCGAACGAAGAAATATATATATATATATATACATAAAATTAAAAATGATTCCTGAAAAATTAAGGGAGAATCGCGGTTTACAGATACGATAGATAAAGATCTCTTCTATTCAAATTTTCAACTTACTTCTATGTATACTATAATTATAAATGAAACAATACAATAATGGATGTTATCGTGTCGTATCATCGAAGATCGTGGATGTACATGTATCGATATATTATATGGAAATATAATATATATTATATATGTAATGGCAAAATAATTTTCTCTCTCCTGAATTCCTGTTTACTGTGCTCAAGAGGTACACAATTTATTTATTTTACTAAGATTATATATATATATTTACGAAAAATATACTTTCTATTACACAGCAAAAGTTTTTCGTTTCGAAGGAATATATAGTGTGTAGAAATATTTTAAGTGGAAAAATAAACTTCTTAAATTCTAAAACGTGGGAAAAAATTTCTCACAAAAGGAAGAAACTAACAAGCTCGAAGTTCTTTGCACCAAACTTTAAAAAGCATAATCCTCTTTATATCCTTTATATATTATATATAATTGAACGACAAAAAAGTCAATTGATTGAAGAAAAAAAGAAAGAAATATTCCACTTCCTATGCAACACCCCATGTAACCATTGCAAAATTTTTTAAAAAATGAGCAACAAAATGAGCACACAAATGTGAAACAACACTGTCAAACTTGATAAAAGTTCTTATTAGCCAAGAATCGTGACGGAAAGGCGCGATGCAGGCAATTCGTAGGAGGTATCGGCGTGAAAGGACACGGAGGAGTTGACCAACAGAGACCGGTCACGAGTCTTAAAACTCGGCCAGAACGCGAAACGAGAGGTTGTCTGAAATCTGCCACGACCTCCCAGAACGGTCCAACGGCAACGGTTGCACGGTGCATTACCGGATCGAGTGGGTCGAGTAACTGGATCGTGACGATACGTTTGACTTCTATCCCGATGTACTTGCGAGATATCGTCGTTGCGCGTCCTCGAAAACTCGAGGAAGTCGAGGAGGTTCGCGATCGAACCGGGACGGATCGGCCAGATCCCAGATCTTCCTTCCTCTTTCTCTCCTTCTCGAGGCTCGAGCGGTAGGGAAAGGTTAAACGAGTTAACCCCGAGGAACCACGATGACCTACGCTCCATCTCGTCCGCTTCACATAGTAAATAATCTTTCCTCGTAGTATAA